TCCTAGTGTTGATCTTTATCTCATCATCAGCAGTACTTTGTTTCGTTTTGAAAACGCCGCCTGATGGGGTTGAGATTTCATTACCAAGATGTTGACCAGTGAGTGCCAGAACCAAATCTTCAAGCCTTGTATGACAGGGACCTTTCTTATCGCTTTAGAAGAACTTTTTCGCATTTGTGGGCACAATGAACTGTGAAGGCAACAATTAGAAGTGGGATGGATCAGAACATTGAAGATTTTTCAGCGAGTCTTTCGGCTTGCTTCAAGGTAGTATGTGCGACAGGTCAATGAAAGGTCTTAATTTTGGATATTAACTTGCATATCCCATGCAGTTATTAATGACTACCTTGAATAATTACTTGCGTTCGTCACAGTTAACGAGTGCCTATCGCCACTTACCATCTCCACGCTTTATTGTACATTAAGGTTCAACAACAAGCTGAGAATGGTTCACTGGGGAACACTTCTACTGCCGTTGCTACTTATGGTTAACATTCATGCACAGGTTCGCATTTATTGCTGTTTTATACCATTTTCACTTTAAATCGGACACTTTTCAAATCAAATCGGACACACCCCTTACAATAGGCAGTTGATAACTATACCACACTAGGTACTGCTGCAAGCCCCGCCCCAACACCCCGCCCACTTTTCAGCGCGGTCACGGTTTTCCAAAATGTTTTATGAAATCTGCTTCTTCGACTTTTTCTCACTTTTGCTAGTTGCACACACACTTCAACTGAAAAGGATTGGTACCGATACAGATCTGACTCCGCCCACTTCACAATCAAGTGACGTAAGCTCTGAATTTTTATAACTTTTTTGACGTCTTTTTTCACATTCAATCTTCACAAAACGAATATAGGCATGCATCCACTTACTAGCACACTACGCCTTCCTCAACGCACGTAATACCCACTTTCGCTTTTACGTGAAATTTTTAATTTTTTTAACTGCAAATTTTCGCTTTTTAGGCTGTGACAAGCGGTCCCGCCCACTAAATGGAAGCTCCGCCCACTTTGCAGAAGCCCCGCCCACTTTTCAAAAATGACGGCAGATCGGCGGGCTAGTGACCGTACTAGCAGGTTATGGCCTCTCCCGTGCCATCCGGGAGCAAAGTTTCCTTTTTTCCGGTTTTTTCCTCTTTTTTTCATTCTTATGTGACGGCGGAGCACTAGCTCGCGATCTTCGTCATTTTCGAGGAACTGGGCGTGCGGGGCTTCTGCAGAGGTAGGCGGAGCGTTGCCTTTAGTGGCGGGGCCGCTTCTCACAGCACATAAAAAGGTGAAAATTCGAAAAGAAAAGAACAAAATCAATCGTCTCACGAAAAACGAAAGTGGGGTGGTCCGTGAAGGGAAGCGCGTAGGTGGGGCTAGCAAGTGAATGCATGCCCGGATATTCGTTTTGTGAAGACTAAATGCTGATACAAAAATACGTCAAAAAGGTTATAAAATTCAGGTAGCTTACGTCACCGCTGAATGTGAAGGTAAGGCCCGGAGTCAGATCTGTATCGGTACCAATCCTTTTCAGTTGAAGTGTGTGTGCCACTAGCAAAAGTGAGAAAAAGTCGAAGAAGCAGATTTCATAAAACATTTTGGAAAACCGTGACCGCGCTGAAAAGGTGGGCGGGGTGTTGGGCGGGGCTTGCAGCAGTACCTAGTGTGGTATAGTTATCAACTGCCTATTGTAAGGGGTGTGTCCGATTTGATTTGAAAAGTGTCCGATTTTATTTGAAAAGTGTAGGAGTACTAATGTTAAACTTATAGGCTTAGCGTCATTGACAACTCTCTGGGCTGCATTAAGGCGCCCCCCCGTGAACGGCAATACAGACTACACATCGCCATCTATTATGCGGCGGCACAGGAAGCAGCGCCGTGGCCAACCGACCGCGAGTATGATGATCGGTAAGGCGTGCGCGGCAGTACAAATACCGTATGCTTGTAAAGAGCGCAAGTGTGCCATGGCTCTCAATGTCGTTTGTAGGATGATTCACCGTGTTGCTCGTTTGATATTATGTTGCCCTGTGCTCGCTTCTCATTATAGCACGTTGTACATGAAGACAAAGTATTTCGTAGGACGAAGAAGTTGAAACAGACGAACAAAACACTTGTAAATTTTAACATGATCAGAACGACATGTCACGACCCATCGCACAAAAATTCGGAACCCATGAAAGCACGAAGTGAAATCTGGCCTACGTTTGAACAAAGGGAAAGGAGTCCATCTCCTGGATAATGTCCCTCAAACGGAAACGGTATTACTTTCCTGACCTTTCTTTCTTAGAACTTTCTTAGAGCTTCCCCGTAACTTTCTTGGAGTAACCGTTGTTAGATGGAACCGCTACTTGGAATCTCAAATAATCGTCTTCTTAAAAAGCCTGGAAAACGGCGCTAAGCACTTACAGTAGGCTTCTTCCTTGACCAGAAGATATTTCTGTCCTCATGACGAGCAAGTTAATGCACCACATCATCGTCCATGGCCATGCTTCCTCTGTCTCCTCTCTTAACCTACACCCGCCGTCAGATGATCAGACCTGGCATGACCTACTCTAGCCTCTTTTCTGTAAATGAGGGAGAATGAAATTGTCTCGCTTGGAATTCCCTTCAGATTTTAGCTCTGGTTTCATTAGGCTTCGGAAAACATTTCCCGTAAAAAATTCTACAGGTCGTAGTTTCCGCCTACTGTCGTGATTCGCGATCAGTAAGTCGTCACAAAAAGTGCTGAATAATGCTTGTTTTATTATTAGCGATGTAATATGACACGCCTATACAGTCTTATTTGCAATGACACCAGAATGAATCACCGGTGTTGAGGACGCGGCCCTGACCATCGAAGACAGTTGTTTGACCGTTGATCGTCCGATAGGTGTAGGTTGTTACACCGTTGACTATTATCGAGAATTCTTGCTTGAAAATTCCATCGTCAAACATAAATGATGACAAAGTTGAAATTGAATTATGTTCTCCAGGAAGCACGGTCGTATAGCGCTTTCCTGCGATCGTCACTGTAACGAAGGTTTTTCCAGCATCCGCCAAAATAACAGCTCCAGAACCGTCGGGAGACGTTACGTCATCCTTAACGACCTTGGTTTGAAAAAGTTTGAACAGAATGTCGGTGCTGTTTGGGGAAGGGGGGAGGAAGGGCATTTTGCACAGTAGCTACTTCACATCGACGTGTCGACCCATCTAGACAGCCTGTTCTCGAGTTGACAGGTTTTACCATGATGGTTTGACGAGATGCTCCAAGAGCTCACAGGTTTTACCAGAGTGAGACTTGTAGACCAGAACTAGTGAAGCAACGAAATTGGCGAAATGCCCCCTCTCTCCCCGTCGGCGAATTGTGCCCAAATGTCTATGCGCTAGAAGTTGTAAATAATGTAAACTCACATTGTTAGCATCTGGAACCGTAATAAAACTCGGTCTCGGCGGTACCAATGGGTTGGATTCGCCTGAGTTCTGAAGAGCATTACCATTAGTGTTTCTCAAAGTCTCACCTTTCGTGTTTACTGCAATGGGTTGTAATTATTGCATTACTGCCTAAGCTTACATGGTCGAGTTTCTGGCTTTTGTTCAGGGCTGAAATTTTGAGATAGTTGAGAATTCCCCTCGAAGGCTAGGTTTCCCCAAAAAGGCGATTTCCCAATTAAAATAAGGGCAAAAGGACAAGTGCCCCAGAAATGCGTCGGTCTTCGGATACTACTAGGCCATCTGGCCTTTTTTTAAATAAGGCGGGTCCAAATATGACATGTTGGATTGGTGCCAAGAGATTGGTAACTCTCTTGTCCCCAAGATAAAGAGACTGTGACCGAATGCACGGCGCATTATTCCCTACTGTTAACGGCTCGGCTGGCCACCAAAAGGTTGCTGAATCATGTGCAGGACAAACTGTAAACCAGAGCCAGGTTTTCTAAACCAGTTGGACGGCCGGCGTCCTTCATAGGACGGTTTCCAGGGACCTGACCCAACTGTGAAAATCACGCAGCTGCTCCATCATTCAAACTCTAAGGTCCTTCGTAAGCGAGCCGTCGACGCTGAACTGCTTCCATTCCGCTTCACTTTGAGTTCCAGATGAATTACACCAGGTCAAAAAACCGGACGATAACTCTTGGGCCCCAGGTGGTCTAATGTAATCAGCTGGAACCATGAATAGGGCTCTCTGAGGCCTATAGTATTCTCCAGAACCCAGCTTTGGTAGGCTGTCCCTAACCTAGCTGGTGGGCCAAATACAGTCATAATACAAGTAATACATCAGTTTTACATGGTACTACAGTATCGGGGCGCAGTTTGTCGAGGAGGGGGCATTCTGCTTTCCATAGATGTGCCGACCCATCTAGGTAGCCTTTTCTCGAGTTGACACGTTTTAGGATGGTGGCTAGACGATCTTGCACCAGCTTCACAAGGGTTCACAAGTTTTACCAGGGTGAGATTTGTAAACCGGAACTAGGGAAGCAATGGTAGTACAAAATG